CACCACCACCACCACCACCACCACCACCACCACCACCACCATCACCATCACCATCATCATCACCATCATCACCCTCACCACCAACACCACCATCACCAACACCACCAAAACCATCAACATCATCACCACCACCATAACCATCATTATCATCATCACCATCATCACCATCACCATCACCACCAACACCATCACCATCATCACCACCACCATCACCAAANCCATCATCACCACCACCAGCACCAAAACCACCACCATTACGAACATCACCACCACCAGCACCAACACCACCAACATCACCACAATCATCACCACCACCATCAACATCATCATCACTATCACCACCACCACAACCATCACCATCACCATTACATCATCATCAAGATCACCACCTTCATCACCATCACCACCATCATCACCATCATCACCATCACCACCATCATCACCATCACCATCACCACCATCACCATCACTATCACCATAACCACCACCATCACCATCATCACAATTACCATCATCACCATCTCCATTACAATCATCACCACCATCACCATCATTATCATCACCACCATCACCATCACAACCATCACCAACACCATAACCACCATAACCACCATCACCAACAACATCACCAGCACCAGCACCAGCACCAGCACCATCACCACAACCATCTCCATCATATCATCATCAAGATCACAACCATCATCACCATCACCATCATCATCACCATCAACACCATCACCACCATCACCACCATCATCACCATCACCATCACCATCACCACCATCACCATTACCATCATAACCACCATCACCATTTTTTATCATCACAACCATCACCATCACAACCATCACCATAACCATCACTAACACCATCACCATCACCACAACCAGCACCATCACCATCACCACAACCAACACCCTTACCACCGCCATCACCATCACAACAACCAACACCATTACCACCACCACCATTACCATCATCACCTCAAACAACAACAACACCACCACCACCACCACCACCATCATCATCATCATCATCATCATTATTACCACCACCACGGACACCNGACACCATTACCATTACCACCTCCAACAGGACAAAAATCACCATCACCATTACCACCACAACCTCCTACACCAGCAACGCCATCACGACCACCACCACCATCACCAACATCATCCTCATCACCACCAACAACTTCACCATCACTACACTCACCAACACCATCATCATTACCATCATCACTATTGCCATCTCCAACACTGCCACCTCCACCACTCACATTACCTTCTCTAACACTGCCACCTTCACCACTACTACCACCCCACCACTCACATTACCACCATTGTACCACTTTATACATTTTTTGTCAATTTGATATTTTCTCTTTTCTATTATCTTTTTGATCAGGTCATGCTAACATGAGCAAATGCACACTCCTGCAATCAGCGGCTCTTTCTTAAACATAATTGTCCTGTAACCCGACAAAAATGATAGATTTGGACACTTTAAAGTGCATTACGTATCGATAAAATCATCAATTCTTGAAACAAAGACATTCTGCGAAAGAGAAGCCAAATATTTCAGTCTGAATAAAAAAAATTCCAATGATACCGTTGTTGGATCGCACAACGTTACACGATGTGCGTTGTGCGCACGATGTGTACACGGTGTGTGAACGATGTGTGCACGAAGTGCGAACGATAAATAATTGGACGATCATTCCTTGCGCACAAATGCGATAACAATCGTGGTTGGTGTAAATTATGGAATGGCTTGACAATATATACGGTTTCGTGTTTGAACATAAAATTAGATTTTTTAGTATGATTCTATACTCTAGCTACATCTATAAGCGTATCTTTCTGTCTATACTTTTCTA